CCTGTATTTAATTCCCGATTCTTGTACTTTGTCACTCTGCTTTCAAAAGGACTAAATTTCTTAAAATTATATCATGAAAACTATTCACTTAAAAGGACTTAATTTAAAAGGGCAATAACTGCAGTGTTGTGTTAATAAAACACCATGTATATTCTGATACTATATCAAACTTGCATATAAGTACATAGAGGTAAAAGTCAGACACATCATCAGTTCAGTGTTCAGTCCCTTGTGCAGCTCATTTCTCTTGTTTAGAGGCAATTTTCGGAGGCGCTCTAAAATCAATGACACAAACACAAGGAAGAGCGCACGAGTGTAATTTTCCGCTCGAAATGACAGGCAAAGAGTCGTGACACGCTCAATGGGGATCACTTAATTATAATTTCACGTTAAGCATATAATGGTTCTGTTGTTGTTCGATGTTTCCCTTATAAATTTGCACTCTGAAACGTTTAGAGGTCTAATTATTTTAGAAGATGTTTTGGTGGATGCGGTTCTTGTATTTCACGTAAAGCTTATCTACATATATACTCTGAGGAATTAATGAGTATATTTCCATTGTTTATTCATATTCTCCTGTATTATACATGGTTAATGTATGTTGCACGTGAAAAAATATTAACATATTCAAAGTACCTCCTTTAGGAATAATAAGCAGTGATTTGGAAAGGAAGGTATTTGATTAGGATATGAGGCATGAAAAAGGAATTGGTATAAAAATGATAAAAGTCTTTGGATCTTACTCAAGCATAATGTCCTGAAAGGATGAGTATATAAAAATATAAACGGTGAAATTGCAACTATAAAAGTAAGATGAAACCTCGGTCGAAAATTTTGTGGACTATTTTTCATCATTCGATTTTTTCTTTTCTTCTTTTCTCATCTCTACTATATACTCTACTGATGGACTCTATATTATACTCTATACTCTCGTTATTCCATTAGAACTTGTACAACTTGGGACAAACTCATCCTCGAGTGGCAACATTATCTAAATTTATAAATCAATGGCTTATATCTTTTATATAGTGGTTTACAATAAAATAATGATGTTAAAAATAGTAATGTTTTTACCAATAAAACACCCAGTATATATTTCTACATACAAACATGCACACACAAACCCCCAGCATTTTCTTTCGTTTAACGTTTTAATAATCCATTGTGCATCATCATCAAGAAATACACTGTATAAAGAAAACATCTGAGAGCGTATCGCCCAAGGTGCCCTAGGGGAAAAGCTGGGGGCCAGCGTTCGAAGAGAAGTCCCGCCCCAAAGGCGAGGAATCCCATCCAATGGGTAACTGCAGACACGCCCGCCTCAGGCGCCGCTCCCCCTTGCGGCGTACCCCAGATTAATCGCGTTCAATTTCTTTATTTGGAGCGGCGTCGGGGCGCGTTTCTACAATTTTCCCTGCTCGATATGTTTAAAATTTAACTAATTTACTGAGGTTTCCGAGTTTTTTTTTATTCAACTTTGTTCATTTACAGAAGTGGACGTGAATTTAAGGGTAGGAGGTATAGGGACTAGGGGGTACAGTACTTATCCTTTAGAAAATATATATGTTATAATATGATGAGGTTTAAAAAATCTTTCTGTGGGATATCTACTACCAACATTTTTTTAGTCAATTTTTTTATAATTTAATTTTAGATGTTTCATTCACTCTTATCATATATAGATGACTGATTTTCGATGATTTTTTATTCACTTTTCATGTACAAAAAATGTCCTTTCGAATTACGAAATTTTAGTAATTTTCAACAGTTTTTGTCAAACAATTTCGTTTAATGAAAAAAATCTAAATTCAAACGCAATTGATCAATACATACATGTATATTGGTGTAGGTAATTGAATTGCGAGCGAGATCCAAACTTCAAAGTAACTAAAACCTCTTTCAAATTGTATAATGCATGTACACACGATTTAAAACCGAAAATTACGATTATTCTCTGTATTATGACGTGAAAGAGCCTCTGGAAAATTATTCGGCATGCTAAGCCCCCCTTCTTTTGTCCGAACGACAATTCAATAGGCGCTTATAGAGAAGGGTTCGAGCAGATCGCGATTTTAAAATACAGGGTGAAACTCGCTTAATTTATCTTTACCAATGTTCAAAGTTTTAGGTGGACACTCTTCAACGATTAGGTCCAAAAAACGGTTTTAAAATATCGAAAGTTTCAAATGAATCGCGATTTTCGATCGAGAGCTGCCATTTCTTAGCTTTCGAATGCAATTCTAACGAGCACATTAAATAATTTAGATAAAAAGTTGACCTATAACATATCTACCTATAATTATTTGATTTAAAAAATATTAGATATATCAAATTAGTAAGGAATTGTAAAAAAATAATTTGTATAAAATTAATCTAAATTGGACAATCCTGTATATAGGAACAAACAAACATACGCGGCCCTGCGAGCTATATGTGCGGATAAAAGGAGACAAAGAGCGCTGTTTCAATTACAAATGGTCACATTAACGATACATCACCTCTCGCTAAAAGATCCATCCATTCGTTTAATTTACATTTACAGGAGGATTTGATTCCGGAGCTCACAATGGCAATTATGTAGAGTATATATGTTTTAGGCATGCTCTATCTTCATACGTATTTTCATTCGCTAGATTAAAATTATTCTCGCCCTTTATTCCATGAAGTTATATCGTCATCTTTTACGATAGAAAAAGGTTCATTTTTGGGGCTTTAGATCTTAGTTTACGTTTTATTCTTAAACAAGCCCAAAAATTTCGATAAATTATACCTAATAATATACCCAGCAACAACAACAATAAGAATAAGAGTAGCAATTGCAGCAATTGGCCGGGTATAATCGCCGTCAACATGTACAACAAAAGGCCGACGTCTCTCTCGCGAATAATAATAATAAAAAAGAAAAACCATCAGCAAAAAAAAACCGGCAAGAAAAGAACCAGAAGAAGAAGAAGAAAGCGAGCGCCGAGGGAGTCGAGAAAGGTTGTATTTTGTAATAAAGCTACCACCCCCGCGGCATCCGGTCGCGTGCATGGCTGTATAAGAACCGCCGTTTCGGATCCGCCACACAACACAATCTCTCTCTCCCGTATAGAAACCGGCGTATTCGGCGTCACGATGCCCCGCGGCGCTCATGACTCTCTCTCGTACAAAACGCAGAAAACACAGGGCCCTCGCACAGCAGACCACGACTGTCCCCCGGGGGGCGCAGTCCTCGACCTCCCCCCCTTTCGGTCGCATTCCTTCGTCCGCCGCACCGATTCGCATTAGCGGAACGCCAGAAAGGGGTGATATTTTTTCAAGTCGTTATTAATTTTTTTTATGTTGGTAATAAGCGTCAAAAATGTAAGTTGGCAACGCTGATTTATCATTCTGATTGTTCCTTCTTCTTAATTTTTGGATTACTTGCAAGCATGGCCTCTTGCGAAGAGCACAGCATCCGGCCAATCTAATATAGAAATATACAAATTAAAGGACCTTATAAATTGTATACAATTCAAAGCTTAGTCTGTATAAAACTGTTGTTTTGTAACCTAAATTATTTTTTACATCTCATATGTTAACTGCAATATTAAGAAAAGTGTATAATTGTGCATGTGGTGCGTGGATAAATATAATTATTTCAGTATCAATCAAAAGTAGGTAAAATAAATGAGTAGAAGTTTGCAAAAATGATAAATAAAGATATTATTGGAGGCGAAATGAAAGATTATTTTCTAGTCTATTTTGATATATGGTTATAAGATTCTAACAATTGGCACTTAGATATTCTGTTTATTATACATATACAAAACTTAAGCGTTGAAATCTATCGGGAGAAATCTAATTAAAAAATAACATCTTTATGTATTAATAAACAAATAATTTTAATAAGTTCGCCTATGTGTTCAAGCAGGCGTATAGAGATAACAGCAATATGCACTTATCTGCATATATCTATGAACGTGTTTATCGGAAAAATAAATCGACCGAAGAGAATAATACCTGCACAATGTGAATATGGAATGCTTTTTAGCGATTTAAATGTTCTCTATAATCTACAAATATATTTTCTATTGGAAAATGTAACAAAAAACAATTTACCCCAACATCAATTACTCCAACATTTACGCTGTGACAAAATAATTATTCTAAACCAAAAAGGTACGTAAATGTGATGGAAAACCATGGAAAAGTCGATTAAGTTTTGCCCGACGAACGCACGGTTATTAAAATGAAAGAGGACAATCGTTAATCAACGATCCCATTTGTACGTTAAATAACAAACGCACTTCATTTATAGAACAATACAGGTATCGGATTTTATGAAAATATTTATTAATAAAAAAAATTTTATTATTAAATATTAAATTGGTTTAGTTAAACTACATTCAATAAATAAATAAAGGGTAAATATGTAATAATTGACATGGTTATTGACAAGTATAATAATTAATAATAAATAAATAATGTGTAAATCATAATTGCTAAGCTATACTTAATAAAGTATATTCGTTTAATGTATTAAAAATTCTGTGTTATAAATAATTTTTTAATTTCAAAAAATATATAGATTGATCATTTATTTTGATACATATATCGCACATTACAGGGATTTCCTTCAAACTTTGTCCCCATCAGGAAAAGTGAATAACATCAAATAGTACAACACTAACATAGATATGTATGTATATATATCATGGGTGTTATAGAAAAACTGCATATATTTTCACAATATTTATCATGTAATACAAAAAATAACAGCTGCACGACTAAAGTAAACATTGAAGGTTAAAAGAAACTATTAAAAAATCGTTTGCTACTTACTAGAAATAATAGAAAGTGTTTCATAATAAAGAGTCGTGCCTACTAACAATGGTGGAAATGTGAAACAAATTAAAATCTAAAATAAAAGTAAATTTAATTTACTTTTGCAAGTAAATGTATCTACTAGTCCCTCTACTATTTAGAATTTTTTTGACATGCAGAGCACAAACAGAGCAAAAGTCCCTAATTAAACAGATGTCAAAAGATGAATATATTGAAGTTTAACAATTTCGAATTAAAAATTATCAAAATAATATGACCCACAATCACTATTCCAACCAGTTTATTAACCATTAGAGAGGTCTTTAAACTAAATTTTCGTCTAAGCATGTCTCTTCTAGATCAATCCAAAGAAAACCGCCCCATAAAGAAACCAAAATCTACCAAAGAAACCAACGATTTTTCAAAAATCGGCGGCCTCAACCACCACCTCCGAACACTAAGAGAAATCGTCATCTTTCCTCTACTACACGGCAACGTCTTTGCCCATTTCAAAATCAAAGCTCCACGCGGGGTGCTATTCTACGGACCCCCAGGTACCGGTAAAACTCTAGTAGCCGGAGCTCTAGCGGCGGAACTCAACAAAGAAGGCGTCGGCAAAGTGAGCTTCTTCCCTCGAAAGGGAGCCGACATCCTGGATAAATGGGTAGGAGAATCCGAGAAGAACCTTCGAGCTCTATTCGAAAAGGCGACAAAGAGTCGCCCTTCGATAATCTTCTTCGACGAATTGGATGGCCTAGCACCGATCAGATCGGATAAAAACGACCACGTGCATTCCAGCGTCGTGGCCACGCTACTCTCCCTTCTCGACGGATTGGATACCAAACCAGGAGTCATCGTCATCGGAGCGACGAACCGCATAGAAGCCATCGATCCGGCGTTGCGGCGCAAAGGTCGCTTCGACAAAGAGCTCTATTTCCCTCTGCCAGGAACTCTAGCCAGAAGAGATATCCTGCAAATCCTCACGAGCAACTGGAAACGGAAACCCAGCGGGGAGTTCTTGGAGGAACTAGCCGACATGACGCACGGTTTCTGCGGCGCAGACCTCCAAGCCCTGTGCTCGGACGCTGTTTTAACGTGCTTGAGAAGAGCCTACCCGAAAATCGACTCCCGGGGAGCCGATATCAAAGTGGAACCGGATTTGCTCCAGGTCGAAGAAAGTGACTTCCTGGAGGCGAGAACTCATCTAGTACCGTCCAACGTGAAATACGGATTAATCATGCGTAAACTCAGCCATACAGTTAAACCGTTACTGAGACGACAGCACGATAGGATCATCAAGTACATAAACTTGCTCTGGCCGCATTTCCTCCAAGAGGATTATGAGTACAAATTCGCCGCAGGTGACAGGAGATACGCAGCGAGAGTTTTGTTAATTGGAGACAATACTCAAGGTCTCAACACCCATTTGTTACCGTCTGTACTGAAGAATTTAGAGCACATTCCGCAGTTTGTGCTGGATACCAGGTCTAATTTGAGCTTCCAATTCAACATAACTAGTCAATTTCCTTCGGTAATTATTCTGTCGCGTGTGGATGAATGGTGGGAGGATATCAACGAATATGATCAGCACAATATAGTTACCTCATTGGAAGAGATCCATGCAGGCTTACCTATCCTCACCATAGCTTCTTGTAATGTTGAAGTACCTGGAAAGCTGCACAATTTCTTCTACAATAACAATACTCTTCTAGTGAGGATTGAGAATCCTACTGAGAGGGAACGGGAGGAATTCCTGGCGCCTTTGTTCTTCGATGAAAACAATCTGAGCGTGAGCTACGTGTGGAACAGGTGGAGTAGGTTATGCACGGAAGGTAAAGGGAAGAGTTCGAAGAAGAAAAATAATTTCGGACTGGAAATAGCCGGCTTGTTAAGGAAAGGTAAAAGAAAGAGGGAATCTTCGTTAGTGCGCGAGGCAAAGAAAATTAGATGTACTGTGAAGAAATCATCCAGCGACACAAGCATATTTGATTTAGAAAGGAAAATTACCAATATGCAATTGCAACTAACCACCTCCTGCGATTCGGTGAGGAACAAGCAATATTTCACCAGGGTATTATCCGATTTGTTGAATAAAAGAAACACTTGGGAATCTAACACCGATACAACCGGCATCGGCGAGTGCTGTTCGTACGACGAAGAGACGAGTAGGGAGAAGATCTACAATGTGTGGAAGCACGCTTCGGAGGTGACGACGAGAAACATGGGCGTCTCGCACTTGGAGACGCTGTACGATGTGATATCGGCCTGTGTGGCGATAAATCAGAATTCCTTCGACGACCTAGTGGTGAATTTGGAAAACGTCCTAGAAAAAATCGAGAATTCCTATCGAGTTTCGCCAGACGGGGATTTTTAATAGGATCAGATCGCACCAGATCAGAGTGGGTCAGAAGGGATCGATGATACGATTAAGTGGTAAATTGTATTGAATATAAAAATAGACATTAAAGGAGGAAAACTGTATGGCTAGAACAATAAAACCTGTCTACATATATAAACGACTCCACAAAAGTTAAGGAAGTTCGCAAATTATTTTAAAAGTTACAGACTTTTTGATCACCAAATTTTCAAATATCCAAAATAAATGTTTTCTCTCATATCTGTATGTATTTTTTGCACCTACCTCTACAATTCATATTAAATTTGGCTATCAAAAAACCTGCAACTTTTAAATTAATCTCAATATTTGTGAACTTCCTTAACTTTTGTGGAGCAGTATAGTTGCCTTATTTTGCAAATGATTTCGATAATTTCTCATGTAGGTACTCACGTTTCAGATGATTTTGTTATACATATGTACATATAAAACAAACTTCGAACTAACGATATTAAAGGTATTATTGAAAGTATTAAAAAATCTTAAGTTCCTACCTCTATTTAAGATTCCATATTCCAGTTCACACTACAGTTGTATTGTTTAAACGAAAAATCCTATTTAATACCGAAATATGACATTACATGGCTAAAATACGGTAAAATAATTCGTATATCCTTAATCAATATGCGAGGCATCCCTTAGTTCGAAAACGCCTTGTATAATATGCAGTACATATCCTCGGCATTAAACCGCATTCTTCGCATTCGTTCCTCGAGGACTGCAAACGCATCTACCTACACGTTAATCATCAAAAAAGTTGTGATTTAATTTCGAAAAAAATGAAAACCTCCATCTGTCCACTTGCGCTCGCACCGCAACGGCCTGGCTCTTTAAGTACTTCGGGCACGCAAACCCTCACCGAAACGTAATAAAGATTTGAGCCGTGAGCCGCCCGTCTCGGGAACATTCTTCTCTAATAATACAGACGTATTCCTTTTTTTATTTACTCGCACGTATTAATTTATTTTGTACGGGGCGGCCGAAATCCGTGATGGTTGTCTCCTAAATGAGAAAAGATTGGAACAACCACCTACGGTTAACATGCTATGATTTGTTTTCTTTGGTCACAATTAGGTAATCTTGAATAAAGAAAATGGTGAATACATTTTACTTATTCTCAATACATAAGTATTGCAAAACCCGATGTAAAATAAATGAATATTGCAGTGTTGTTTCTATTCCACCCCTGTAGTCTCTCCCACATACAGCGATTAGAATTAGGAAATTGATTTGTTTTCCTGCGCGCGATATCGCTTTCGTTTTCGCGGTCGGTTTGCTTTTTAATTTTCGAGCACACATGTCACCGGCGGAATAATTCCGTTAAAATGCCCACTTAGAGCTCGATTTTTTCCGAAATGACATACGCACTACAGAGAGGAGATTCGGGCTCGCACCCTCCGCTTCGATACATATCTAAATTACGCATTAATTGTCGGGTCGGTGGTTAAAAGAGCTTGAAATTGTCCCTCGGTGATATTTACATTGAGGCGCAGCGCCCCCTCGATGGGTCTCCCTCTCTTCTCTCCTATCGCTAAATTAACCATGAGATGATTTTCTCTCCCGACTGCCATCCCAAAGGACTTTACAATTTGATATGGTTATTACTATTACTAAAAATATCATGGTATCGTATGGAAATTCATGCAGATTAGAGGGTAAGGTAACGATGGTGGACTGTATAATCGATTATTATTAGATAAATTCGATTTGTTTCGTGCATGTATATTACAAGCGTTGGGGTTGGAAAAAAAGGAAAATAAAACATATATTTTAATACAGCAACTTTGTATGCCAATATATTTTTATTTATATCTATTATTTAATTGTATTATTCGCGCATCTCGTGTCTTCTGCTATTTCCCTCGAAGTGTACATGATCCCATTGCTAATGAAGGTTGGTATATAAAATATAGTAAAACATTTTGGGATATTGAAACGTATAAATCGTTCGACCGTTAATTATATTTTTTTCGTCACAACTAAATAAGCAATTAATCCCGATTTTTTATGGCGCTTTTGATTCGGGTCATTCATTAAATCCCTTTCAAAATAAAGAACCTCGAAAGAGCGTTCGTGTAAAAAAAAGAGCGCGCTGACGACTCGCCTATGACAAGGCCCATTAAAAAAATTATTTGGGTTCTATAATGGATGGTGCTGAATTTAATTGTTCTTCGATAATTTATGTCCCGAAAGTGTTCGTTTTTTTACTCCGGTGTATTTTCCGTTCTCGACTTGACGATGCAGCGATAGAGGTTTTACGTTAGGTCGGAGATCTACCTGCTTTAACTAAACTTTAGTTCCGTGGAAATTAAAATTAAATATTAATTTTGAACGGGTCGAGCGATGGAAGCGTACCTAAAACAACGCGCTTTGTTTTCTATTCGATGCGGCTCCGGAGAGGTTTTTTTAATTCGCTTTATGCTAATATTCTCATTTTCTACTGTATACAAGTCGTCAACAAAATTATTCTCAACTTACTTATTTATGCAATGTAGATAACAAGATTGTTTAGAAATCTGCAAGAAAATTTGGAACTAATCATTATTGTAGTATAAACAATAGTTTATAAGTTTTTACGCACAAGTTTTATTACCTAGCAAATTTACTTTACTAAGTTTGTTTAAGGGGGTTTAATGATCTCTGTATCTGAGAGTATCCATATTTTTAAAAGTTTTTGGATGTGTTTTTATAATTTGTTCAAATCATTTATTATAACTATACGTATCAAAATCAATCCATCTATGAAACTTATAAAACTATAATTCTGAAACATAAAAATAATACCTAAAATTTTTAAAAAAGTTTTACAATAATTCCAATTATTCAAAAATAGCCTTTGAACACTGTCTGGTTATGCTGAAATATTTTTATAGGATTTTATAGGCTTTTTATGAAAATTTTATGAAAGAACCACAAAGAAACCAATAATAATTAAAAAAATACCTTTCTCCAAAAATCAATAACAATATTATTAGGCCAAGCAATCTCATATCACCATAATCGTTAGCCTTATCATTCGCCATAAGTATTTTTACAAAGAGATACATATTTTGCAACATAATATCGGCATGTATCATAATCTCAAATTTTCGATGCTCCCCGGTATATTAGATTACCATAAAGCGTGATAGCGTGCAATTTAAGTGTTATTAGGTCCGTTTGAGTTTGGTCCACATACCACCCTCTTCTATGCTATTTGCCAAAAATTCGCTCGGCCGCTTCTCGTCGGTTCTTTTCTTATGAGAATCGAAAGGAGAGCTCGATCTCGCGGTCAAATTGCCTTTTGTCGTGCTCGTTCGCTCTCTCGAAAATTTCGCCAAATATCTTACACGCATTAGGAAGGTGTAATTTCAACGTTTAGACAGCCGGAATGGCCAATCAATTATATTCAGCGCGCTGAGGTTATTAATCTAACAAAAATTTTATAGCGTGCTTTATACAGGCCGTTTCTTACCTATATTAATTTTTTAGGGATAGTATTCGTAAAATGTGGGAAACATTTAAAAATCATTTTTTGTCACTGAAGAATTAAGAAAAATTTGGTAAATTAATATCTAAAAAAATAATTACGTATATGATACTTTTACAAGTTTTAGGAATTTCCTGGAACGAATATTTCATAAATTCCATAGATTACTACTTATAGATACAATCTAAAATATTTCAAAATAATAACACATACTAGTACTTTAACGTTTATTTAGCAATCAGTGATAACCGCCAATAATCCTGTTGATTAAACGTAATTTACGGACACGAAAATATAAATCTCCGGTATTAACGATGCGTTCCGATTCGGCGTCTCGTTATTTCCATTATGAAAAAATAAATATACCGGTCGATGTGTTTTTTAGATTAAAAACGCATACAGAACGGGGAACTCATTAAAATATTTCATAGAAGCTAATTTAAGGCCAGGCAATTACGCACACTTCTCGAGACTGTTGTGGTATAATATCCAGTCGCATTTTCAACGAAAACTCCTCGTCTAATCTCATTCCACCAACGCAAGTCTTTTACAAGCAGTGTCGTAGGTAGCTGAGGAATTATCGGATATTGTTTTCAACATTTTAGAAATTCAAAACGTTGAAGTTCTTTACAAAATAGAGATCGCAGCAGAGTATTGCTTTTAGAATATTTGAGCAAATGTATCAACTAAAATATGCTAAAGTTAGTACATTTATTTTATATAATTTTGTGGAACATTTTAGGGTCGTCATTAATAACTAATTAATTTAGAAAAAATCTACAATTTAGTACGTCTCTGGATTTAGATAAAGCGAACGCCCGTCTCTCTACCTGACCAGTTTTACACGTAATAGCTCGCTTGGCATTTCATTTGCTCTATGACAGATTCTCTTTTACTAATTCATTTTTTAATTAACTAACCCATTTCTGAGCGACCTGCTCAATGAACTTCCTTCGACGTCTTTCTCGCTCTCTTTATACAGAACGTCCCGTATCAACAGATATAATAATAATAATAAGAAATTGTTATTTATTTCCTACAGAATTTTTTTCAGTGGCATAATTAGAATGTTTTCATTAAGTAAATTTAATTGCAACAATCTTCCAGATACCATACTTGCTTGGCTCTTTTTAATGCCAATAGTAGAGAGAAAATAATTGAAATTGTATATAGAAATATAGGTAGTGATACTTTATATCCTTACTGTATATTTGTAAATGAAAAAAGAAGCGTAAATTGTACGAGCTCCTGATGGACTGCCCATTTTTTATGGCCCAAAGGAAATATCGTTTTGGGCGCTTTCGCTTTTTGTCCCGTCAGCTTTGGCTTTCCGAACACTATTAATAATAAATGAGCTTTTCGCATAATGAATTCGTTAATTTCAGCGAGAAATGCTCTCGGAGATATCACGTGTATTCTTGACGGTTTCATATACACATTTCATTTGCGATATACTTACGCATACATATGTCGGTTGTTAATGTTATTCCTTGCGTTTTGATAGGATTACTTGACAGAATAATTGCGCGGAAGTAAAAAGCGTATTGTTAATTTTAATCGTTTCGGAATTTTAATGCAACGTTAATTTAAAAATTTTATGAGGA